TGAGCGCAAGATCTGCAGAGCCGAGTCTTACAGATGTGGCCGTCAAGAACAGCTCGCAGGAATCCAGACTTGTTGCCGTCCTCAAGAGACCCATAATCTCCGAATTACGGTGATCTGTTGTACTTGGTTTTATTCACACTCAAACATTAATTTTAACCTCTTCATGTGCGTGAGGAGAAAGGGTGAGGGGGGATAGAGGCTAGGTTGGTGAGAAGGGAGAGGGAGGGTAGGGGGATAGAACGGAAGAGGGAGGTGGAGGATAGGGCAGGACAGAGGGAGTTAAGAGTTGGGTTGGTAAGGAGTGTATGTGTCTTGGATGGGTTTACACAAGTAATACACACTAACATGCTACGAGAAACTCTTAGGAGCAGGACGGTGGGATTGAACCGCCGTCTGACATCACCCGAGAAGAATTTCTCTTGGATGATATTGTTCGGTTCTTAACATCGGGAATAATGAAATAATTGCATGGTTCACATTCCAAAGCTCAGACGTTAAGCAGCCCCTGATCACTAAAAGAAGCTGCCAAGACGATAGATATATTACATGACAACTTTGGACGCGACGCAAAAACATAACAGATAAGTCAAACGATGGAGATGGAGATAGTGGCGGTGGCATCCCCTATGGCATTGTCGTAAACTGTTTCAGACGGGCTTGAGATACGAGGACACCAGCGAGAGACGGACTGAGCCCGATGGAGCTTCCAGTAACATTTCCGAAGCTCCAAAGGTAAAGCTTCAGAAATACAGAATAAAAAAACATATGGGTCATATTGTACCAAGTTTTTGAAAACTGACGAAGGTGTCGTAAATTTTCTCAAATAAAAAATAATATTAATATTGATTTGAATTTCGTGTAAAGCTAGGATTAAGGCAGGTTATGTTAGGTGTTTAGGTTCTGTCGGCAGGGTGACTGGCTGGCAGGGTGACTGGCTGGCAGGGTGACTGGCTGACAGGGTGACTGGCTGGCAGGGTGACTGGCTGGCAGGGTTACTGGCTGGCAGGGTGACTGGTTGAGCAAGTGGTTTGCATGGCAACAGCCAGACAGGAAAGGACGCACAAAGGATATGACGCAAACAGACATCATATTGTTGACACCTTCGTATAATTCTCAAACCTGCCGCTAGAGGGCTACAGAGATGTGTATAAAGTTACACAAACCTGCCGCTAGAGGGCTACAGAGATGTGTATAAAGTTACACAAACCTGCCGCCTGAGATGCTACAGAGATGTGTATAAAGTTACACAAACCTGCCGCTAGAGGGCTACAGAGATGTGTATAAAGTTACACAAACCTGCCGCTAGAGGGCTACAGAGATGTGTATATAGTTACACAAACCTGCCGCTAGAGGGCTACAGAGATGTGTATAAACTTACACAAACCTGTCGCCTGAGATGCTACAAAATGACTATGACGGCTTCGATAAGCCTTATAAAATATCTAATATATCCAAATATAATAAAATAATCCCAATATAAAATAATATTTTCCAAAGTAAATAAAATTTTGGAATACTAGAATTGTATTCCAATGTATTTAATAAAGGAAAAATATATTCCACAGGTTTAATACACTATATTTTACTTGTGATTAGGTAAATATACTACTGAGAAAATTATACAAAGCCTATTTATGTTTTTGAACAAAATCTGGTTTTAACCAACAAATAAACTCCACTAATTAAGGAAAATATTTTAGAAAACATTCGTCCCTGAAATATCCAAAAAGTTCTTAAAAATCCTAAACAAATACGTCTGTGGTAGACAAAAGCAAAATTGCAACCATTTTTCCCTACTTGCATTAATCAGCATAATCTTGTCACTAATCTGGAAGAAAGCCAGTGTTGTGGCTGTCAATTAGTAGAAAACACGATATCATTAGAAAATCATACAGCAATATACATTCTCTTGCCGGTGGGAAGATCCTTAAACAAATCCTTATTGAAGGGCTAGAAAAAGCACTTTGATAAAATTATTTTGTAATAAGCAATTTGATTTTAGAAATGAAATAAGCACAGCAAATTTATTGCTACAGTTTACATCGGAATGGAACACGAGTCTCGGCTGTAGAGAGGATACATACAATCGTCTTGAATATTGCTGGAGCATTTGATAAAGATTAGCATTAAGAATTGGTGTTGTAAGCTTAAGAGGCTGGGAGTTGAAGGGAATCTTCTGCATCTCGTTAAATTTGCGTAAGTAACTGAGCCTTGCAGGTTGTCTTCAAGAATCAGTCCCACGGGGAACATACCACACAGACAGTATTTCTATTCCTTAGTGTAGCGTGATCTTCGCTCGTGTGGAACATCTCCTGGGATAACATCTTGGAGTTAATACCAGAGGCTAGCGCCTATGGAGATGATTGTATACATCGACTTTTTTCAGTAGACAAGACAGAAGACGTGAATCATGTCAACGTTAATCTTAGGACTAGTTTATCTAGCCCACTCATCTAGCGAGAAGAGTCACAACACTGCCGCTCATCTAGCGAGAAGAGTCACAACACTGCCACTCATCTAGCGAGAAGAGTCACAACACTGCCACTCATCTAGCGAGAAGAGTCACAACACGGCCTCCATTATAGATATCTTTAAAGTTACTCCAAACAGAGGAAGACTTTGTTGCTTGCATTAATATTAGCGTGATCTGTACCCTCCAGCCATGCCCCACCAAGCCATGCCCCACCCAGCCATGCCCCACCCAGCCATGCCCCACCCAGCCCCGTACCTCCTCACACTTCCCGCTCCGCCTCTTGTATTCATTTCTACACTTCCCCATTTCGGCCTACACTGAAGCCGCGCCTCACCCATCAACACCCTGCTTCACTGTGTCTTGTTCACCCTTCCTGCCCCCGTCACCTGCCCTTCCTCGTCCCGCCTATCTACTCCGCCTGGTCCTGCCCACCTGCACTGCCTCCCTCCCTCCGCCACTTTCTGCCCTCCCCCTTAAGTGCAGTTTTACCACCATGATGCCAAAGAAGATTTTCATGTAACGATTAGCATTCTCTTTACATTTATGATTTTTTTAACACACACACACACACACACACACACACACACACACACACACACACACACACACACACACACACACACACACACACACACACACACACAGTTTCCATACACAGTTTCAAATGTAGATATGATAGAGCCCAGTAGGCTCAGGAATCTGTACACCAGTTGATTGACAGTTGAGAGGCGGGACCAAAGAGCCAAAGCTCAACCCCCGCAAGCACAATTAGGTGAGTACAATTAGGTGAGTACACACACACACACACACACGCGCACGGACACACGCTAATGCAATCTCACAACCCTAATGGAGAGACAAAACATGGTAAGATTCTCAGGATAATATTCATGCTGGTAAAAGAAAGCCTCTTGAAGAGGAGAGGAAGTAGGACAAGAGGACATAGATGGAAGTCAAAAAAGCAAATGTGTCACAACAATTTTTTAAAGAAATATTCGTACTCCTTATGGTTGGTAAACAAATAGAATACACAGAAAAAACTCCCAGAACCCCCCCACCATCCACAACCTTATTGACAAACAAATTCGTATTCCAAGAAATTTAAATGTAAATGCAACAGGTACAAGTTCAAGTATGTTTACTGAGACAAGAAAAAATACATCTCAAAGGGGATAGAGTGGCTTAGAGTATTTCTACCCCCCCATACAACAGGCACAAGCAAGCCAGTAAGCGGGGCCTAAGGAGCTAGACCTGACTCCCTCTGAAGTCACTCTCAGGTTAAGTAAGTAAGTCACTCTCACGCCCCCGCCAATATGTCTCACCTCTCCACTGGCAGGTTACAGTTGACAATATTGATTGCCATTAGCGAGAGTAACTACTGCCAGTGACAAGGGTGCCGCTGTGGGTGGGAGGGGGGAGGGGGGGTGATGGAGCCGTGTTTGTGGGTTTATAATTAGCAAGACATGGTAACTGATGGGGGTGAAGGTGGGGGGGGAGGGTGGAGGGGGTGGGGGGGGAGGACAGAAAGGAAAAGATAGAGAGAATGTAAGAAATACCATGTGTGTGTGTGTGTGTATGTGTGTGTGTGTGTGTGTGTGTGTGTGTGTGTGTGTGTGTGTGTGTTTGCTACTTGTGCCTGCACAGCATCACACACCTGAAGCATCACACACCTGAAGCATTTGTGATGATAATCTCTTTCAAGAGAGATTGAGCCTGCTCTTCCCTACAAAGTACGTCAATATACAAGATAATATAGAAGATACGTCCAGCAAGTATCGCCAAACGTTTTGCCCAGAGAGCAAATCGTACCCAGCACACAGTGACACCTGCTACCTACCACCGCCGAAACCAGCAACCTGCTCATCCTTTGCCTGCCTGTCGCTGATTGGCTGGTGTCCCGTCGCACCTGCCCTCCGCCTCCGCCACAAGTTGATGTCTGGGCTGCAGTGCGCTAATATTGTCAGAATATCTCAGTGCTCCAAGCAGTTGACATCTCTCGCTGGTAGACTAAGCCTTGGCTTTCGTGTACTAAGGGAGGTGGCAGCTCGAAGCCAATATTCCAGCAACACTAATATTTTATTTTGCTATCACTGTAACTCACTTGTCTTAACGTAACTTTTCATTTGCCAGTGATTATTCATATTTTGTTTGTTGACTTGTCTTTCATATTTTATGTGCTTAACTTTATTCTTGTCTTGTTTTTCTAAAGTAATTAAAATTCCATTGTTAATTTACTTGTGTTTTGTGTGTCTTCCCATTACCGAAAGCTCCAGCTTTTCTCTTTTTTTTTCTATTATGTGACGAGGCCCTGCCCCTAGCTTTTGAAACAGCCGAACACCAACGCTTTACCGTCACACATTACACACCTGAAGCATCACACACATCTTACAACTCTTTTGGTAATAACAGAGAACATTATTCTTCAGCATCTTGGCATTCCTATCTCTCTCTCTCTCTCTCTCTCTCTCTCTCTCTCTCTCTCTCTCTCTCTCTCTCTCTCTTCATCCTTAGCCTTTCCGTTCCTCACCTGAAGGTGGCTCTCGAAGGCTGTGACAATATCTGAGACGAGGACGAGGGCGAAGTGGGTAGTGATGACCAGACTCAAGGCTGATTTGCGCCGCAGGGTCTCCGGCCGGAACTTCACCTGTCGGGGTGAACAATGAACAAGAATGAACAACAAATGTATAGGTAAAAGTAATGAAGTCCAATACACGACCTCAAATAATGGTTGCTGGCCACAGAAAGACTTCGTCGTCAGTCTTTGTGGCAGTCTTTATTAAGAGAGACGGTCTTAAGACTGTAAGGACATTTTCATGGCCGTACAGTGGGATTGAACTCGCCTCCCTACACTTCCGGGGAACACACACACACACACACACATACACACATATATACACACACACGCACGCCTGGCTTCAACATTTTCTAAAAAATACATTATGTTCATGTTGTTCCATTGTTCTTTCAGATAATACCTTAGACTTTTCTTATACTTAAGTGTACGTCTAATTCAGACGTAGCAAAAAGCCATAAATCTAATTAAAACACACAAATCTTATAAGACTTATTCAAACGAGCCCATTATCAAAACAGTTCAATTTTAAAATACTCCATAAATCAACTTAACCAAAACACCTCATCTTACCTTACCTAGAAGCAGCTATGCACTTCCCTCGATATATTAACATTCATTTATTTTGAGATAAAAACTTACATGATTAAACAGTGGGAAAATTTCACCCAGTGAGTTGGTTGTCGGCTGTACAGGCCCAATATTATCTTTTAAGTCCAATACTGACCTTATATAACATGTTTAAACAAACAAACGCCACCCCACATGTGCCGTGTTCACACATATGGGTTTCAAGCACACTCACACACACACGAAACCTCACGAGATGTGTTCTAACACGCACACGAAACATCACGAAACGTGTACTAACACGCACACGAAACCTATGTGCGTGTGGTATTCAAACACACGAAATCTGGCGCCGTGTTACAAAGCTGATGTACCTCACAAATTCAATTGGCTTCACTGTGACGGGTATTGATACTCTCTTTTACGGCCGCTTACCGACTTTCTGCGAGAGATGAGACCAGATTTTGCAATTCTGACAGAAGTGCAGCTCAGTAGGTGTATCGTTTTATATATATATATATATATATATATATATATATATATATATATATATATATATATATATATATATATATATATATATAAATAAAATTGGCTGGTGTCCCGTCGCACTATATATATATATATATATATATATATATATATATATATATATATATATATATATATATATATATATATATATATATATATATATATATATTAGTATATTTTGGTAGCAGTCTTTCCTGTAGACATATATTATTAAATATGACAGAAAAAGTAAGATTAATAATTCTAACACGAATTTTCTCGATTTTTCTTATGTTTCTTTTCACTGTTGATGGTAAATGAAAAATCAATTCTCCAAAATTCATTTTTATTTCTAGTCTATAGACTAGAAATAAAAATAAATTTTGGAGAATTGATTTTTCATTTACCATCAACAGTGAAAAGAAACATAAGATCGAGGAAATTCGTGTTAGAATTATTAATCTTACTTTTTCGGTCATATTTAATAATATATATATATATATATATATATATATATATATATATATATATATATATATATATATATATATATATATATATATATATATATATATGCGAACAAGCCTGAATGGTCCCCAGGACTATATGCGAATGAAAACTCACACCCCAGAAGTGACTCGAACCCATACTCCCAGAAGCAACCCAACTGGTAACTACAGGGCGCCTTAATCCGCTTGACCATCACGGCCGTCAAAAGGAAGTGATAGCCGAGGCTATTTGAGCCACTTCCCCGACGGCAACTCGGATGGTAATCTTGGGCATAGCATTTCACCAAATCACCTCATTCTTTGGGGCACACGTGAGGAACACAAATGCGAACAAGCCTGAATGGTCCCCAGGACTATATGCGAATGAAAACTCACACCCCAGAAGTGACTCGAACCCATACTCCCAGAAGCAACCCAACTGGTAACTACAGGGCGCCTTAATCCGCTTGACCATCACGGCCGTCAAAAGGAAGTGATAGCCGAGGCTATTTGAGCCACTTCCCCGACGGCAACTCGGATGGTAATCTTGGGCATAGCATTTCACCAAATCACCTCATTCTTTGGGGCACACGTGAGGAACACAAATCCGCTTGACGGCCGTGATGGTCAAGCGGATTAAGGCGCCCTGTAGTTACCAGTTGGGTTGCTTCTGGGAGTATGGGTTCGAGTCACTTCTGGGGTGTGAGTTTTCATTCGCATATAGTCCTGGGGACCATTCAGTCTTGTTCGCATTTGTGTTCCTCACGTGTGCCCCAAAGAATGAGGTGATTTGGTGAAATGCTATGCCCAAGATTACCATCCGAGTTGCCGTCGGGGAAGTGGCTCAAATAGCCTCGGCTATCACTTCCTTTTGACGGCCGTGATGGTCAAGCGGATTAAGGCGCCCTGTAGTTACCAGTTGCGTTGCTTCTGGGAGTATGGGTTCGAGTCACTTCTGGGGTGTGAGTTTTCATTCATATATATATATATATATATATATATATATATATATATATATATATATATATATATATATATATATATATATATATATATATATATATATATTGCACCCTTCTTAACACCCCCTGAAGCATCACAGCCAACTTCAGAGACACACCTTTCCAGTCTCAAGTTAGGCGTGAAAGATTACTTGGTCCAGAGTTCGATGCTGCTCGCAAGGGCCGAGATCAAAGAGTTCATCACAAACGATGATTTTTACCTTAGAACGGAAAATATATATTTTTCCGAGCATGGAGGAAAGCGTTGGTGGAGGCCAGCAGTGATGTAAGGCAGCGCCAGTGTAAGGCAGCACCAGTGTAAGGCAGCGCCAGTGTAAGGCAGCGCCAGTATAATGCAGCACCAGTGTAAGGCAGCGCCAGTGTAAGGCAGCACCAGTGTAAGGCAGCGCCAGTGTAAGGCAGCGCCAGTGTAAGGCAGCGCCAGTGTAAGGCAGCGCCAGTGTAAGGCAGCGCCAGTGTAAGGCAGCACCAGTGTAAGGCAGCACCAGTGTAAGGCAGCACCAGTGTAAGACAGCACCAGTGTAAGACAGCACCAGTGTAAGGCAGCACCAGAGTAAGGCAGCACCAGTGTAAGGCAGCGCCAGTGTAAGGCAGCACCAGTGTAAGACAGCACCAGTGTAAGGCAGCACCAGTGTAAGGCAGCACCAGTGGAAGGCAGCACCAGTGTAAGGCAGCGCCAGTGTAAGGCAGCACCAGTGTAAGGCAGCACCAGTGTAAGGCAGCACCAGTGTAAGGCAGCACCAGTGTAAGGCAGCGCCAGTGTAAGGCAGCACCAGTGTAAGGCAGCGCCAGTGTAAGGCAGCACCAGTGTAAGGCAGCGCCAGTGTAAGGCAGCGCCAGTGTAAGGCAGCACCAGTGTAAGGCAGCACCAGTGTAAGGCAGCGCCAGTGTAAGGCAGCGCCAGTGTAATGCAGCACCAGTGTAAGGCAGCGCCAGTGTAAGGCAGCACCAGTGTAAGGCAGCGCCAGTGTAAGGCAGCGCCAGTGTAAGGCAGCACCAGTGTAAGGCAGCGCCAGTGTAAGGCAGCGCCAGTGTAAGGCAGCACCAGTGTAAGGCAGCACCAGTGTAAGGCAGCGCCAGTGTAAGGCAGCACCAGTGGAAGACAGCACCAGTGTAAGGCAGCACCAGTGTAAGGCAGCACCAGTGGAAGACAGCACCAGTGTAAGGCAGCGCCAGTGTAAGGCAGCACCCGTGGAAGGCAGCATCAGTGATAGGTAGCACCAGTGTAAGGCAGCGCCAGTGGAAGACAGCACCAGTGTAAGGCAGCACCAGTGTAAGGCAGCACCAGTGGAAGACAGCACCAGTGTAAGGCAGCACCAGTGGAAGGCAGCACCAGTGGAAGGCAGCATTAAAGGGCACCTACGTCACCCACCTACTCATTTCTCTCACAAAAGCCGCCCAGTTTTTTAATCTTTCCAGATCTCTAATGTCCTTTTCTCCAAGGCTCGAGGAATCAATAGCTACTGATAACGTGTCTTGAAGGTGATTCAGAGTTAACTGCCTCTTAACTATCGTGTAGTTGTGTAGATACGGGTTAATAGACTACTAACACCTACAACTCACAGGTGTTAAAACACTATCTTGGTTGTAGGGTACCAAATGCCTCTTTCCTTATTAAACATGCAACATTCACACATATTTGAACCTTATAGTCGAACACAAAATGGTCACCAAGACAGCGGTGCGCATCATTCCTTAAGGGTATCGCTGCTCTTAACGCGAGGAACCAAACTCGAAATACTGAGAAAACTGAGCCAGTGTAAATCTAGGGAATTTACCCCCGCGTTTCACTACGAAATTTCTCCTTTGATGCCGCGGAGGAAGGAGTGACTTTTAGAGTGAGAGGCTGCCGGTAGACTCTCCTAGGTAGCTCAGGCTTCCAACGCCATACTGACACATTCTACACGCAATACACGCAACACCACACCAAATGTCTTAACACACACACACGCACATTCATCCTCAGAAAACACGCGCTACACCCCACACGACACTCAACACTAAGAACCACACCACATACACCAGTATACATCACACAAGTGTATTAATATATACCGTTAAATCTCCGAAAAAATCCCATTATATTGTTCGTATGAGAATACCATCATTCCTTGAGCCTCAACACGTACATAGTACAAACCCACACAATCATGCTCCAGTCCTTATCTCTCCAATCCGCCACTCTAATCCACGCCTCTCAAATTGTCCGCAGTCCTACTCAACCCTCCAATCTTTATCGCCCATCTACACAAAAACAAAAAACCTACTGATTTAAGAAAAACATCAAACACCTGAAAAATCGAAAGACAACCACGAAACAGAGAGAGAGAGAGAGAGAGAGAGAGAGAGAGAGAGAGAGAGAGAGAGAGAGAGAGAGAGAGAGAGAGAGAGAGAGAGAGAGAGAGAGAGAGAGAGAGAGAAGAAGAAAATTAAATAAAGAAAAAGCAATTACAGACAAATAAAAGATGGCCCCAAAAAC